TAACAAGATTAATAACAAACCCTAGCATGTTACTAAGCAATAAAAATCATATATTTAGCCCTAACATGATACTAACAATCATAAATATTAGGAAGAACATAAAAGGCATCATACTTGATATTAAAGCTACCCTAAACATGATACTAAGAAGATCAAAACGCCCTAACATAACATTAGGAAGCATAATAACAACCTAAGCATGATTTCTACATAATAACATCAATAAAAACCATTAAAGTACTTACTTGGATGCCTCGTACCTCTTTCTAATAACAAAATACACGCGTTAGTAACTTCAAGGAAAATAATAATTAAAACAATTAAATTAAATAATTGAAAGAGAGATTTGGGACCAAACCCTTAGAAATTAAAAACTTTCACGTCTAGGGCGAAGGCAACTTCGAACAAGGCTAGGTGTATCTAGGTCTTGTGAATGCGGAATTTTGTATTTTGAGAAAAGGCTAGTTTAGAAAAGAGAGAAAGAGTAATCAAGAATTTCTTGATGAGAGTTGGTGAATAGAGAGAATTGGTGAATTAAAACGGAGTTTTTAGAAGGCTATTTATAGAAAAAATCAGCCAAAATGATAGAAAATCGAAATAGAGTTTTGACGCGCAAAACGAGGTTAGCGCCAGACGCTGACATTAGCGCCAGGCGCTAACGCTAGCGCCAGGCGCTAACGCTAGCGCCAGGCGCTAACGCTAGCGCCAGGCGCCAAGCTTAGCGTCAGGCGCTAATGCTGGCGTTTGGCGCTAACTTAATTACTGATGCGTTTTCTAAAATCAGATAGAAATTTCCGTACAGGAGGATAAAATCGTATTTTCCTCAAAAACATTCTTTTATTCTGATTAAAACTCTAAAAAGTCAACAAAAGTCAATTTATTAATGCTAATTGAATTAGGAATGAAAAGAACCTTCTAGAAGAATCTAGAAGACTAAAACCATTCCTAATTGCATTAGGAATGATAAATCCATATTAGGCCCTCCTCTAGATCATTGGGCCGCATATAAGGCTCAAACTAGGCCAGTTTTGTAATTTGGCCATAACTTCCTCAATATTCATTGGAATTGGGCTTATAATATATCGTTGGAAAGGTCCTTCAAGCCCCATCCAACTACACTACTATTGGACCCATATCATGGACCAGCCAAACTAGATTGGCTGTTTTCTTAAAATAGGTTTTCAAAAACAGAGAGAGAAGAAACTATCCGCAACACTAGACTTTCGACACTTTCACTTCATTTGATTATGATTTGAGGTGAAAGGTACTCATCATTGGATTTGGTTTTGGGGAGACATAAATGGGTGTTTACACACGTCTCCACTGTGTCACGGGAAATTCCACCGTGTCACGGCAATTGCCACCGTGGCACGGTGGAATTCCAGCAAAAAAAATAAAAATTGTCGTGCCACGTTAGCATTCATCTTGCCATGGGAAAGTCCACCGTGTCACGGAAGCTTGTACCGTGACACGGTACAGTTTTCCGTATCACGGTGCCTAGGAAATAAGTCCAGTCAGCTTTTTTTTTAGTCTTCCTTGTTAATTTAGTCCTCCCGTTAGTCATTTTTGTTACTGTTCACATGTCTAGCCATACGATCATACCACGAGTCTTATAACATCACTTAATCACTCACGAGTCAAGTATAGTCCACACACTTTCTTTATTTTTTTGACTCGAGTCATATAACATGTCGTTTATGATCGTATACTAGGTTCATGCACCCTCATTTCCGTCATAATAAAAGATGAGTGGATCGGATTTATTATCACCTATTTTCAAATAACTTTTTTTCCTATCTTGAGCAATGTGTCAAACAATTAAGTGCAGTTGTTTTATTTCACAGCACTTGGTCAAGGAGCAGGGGTAGATTGGTACGGTTCGAGTCATTACTACATCAACCTCTTAAACCTAAGATGCGTTTAAAGAGAACTTTGCCATCTCCACGTCACTCATCACCTTTAAAATACTTTTAGTTTGTCCTAATGGCCACTAAGGAAGATATTGAGAACATTAACAAGTCCATTGAGACAATGTCTAACATGTTACAAGCACTCACTACCAGAGTCAACACAGTAGAGCAAAACAATGTTACTGCGGCTGCAATGGACAAGATCAAAGAACAATTGAGAAAGATTTATGAGGATTTCATCTATGTGGAACGGCCTCCCATTCCTTTGGATGTGAAGGACACACTCCCTGAAAATTTCTCCACAGCTGATATTCCAAAGTTCAAGCCTACTGACAATCCAATATTCCATTTGAAGGCGTTCTCTGCAACCATGGCTCTTAAGGGATTGGACGTAACAATCTTCCCTACGGTGTTCCCTCTCTCCTTAGATCATGCTTGCCAACAATGGTTTTATTCCCTAGATGCCAAGCGTACTGCGACTTGGCAAGATGTCACCGAAAGTTTCATGAACCGTTACAAGTGTAACATTCAAAGTAAAACTTCTGAACGTGAACTCTCCATTCTCAAACAGAAAGAGAATGAAGGCTTCACTGCTTATCTAAACAGGTGGAGGGAAACAACTGCACTCTTGGTAGATCCTCCCAAAGAAAAAGAGATGATTCGTCTTTTCATCCAAAATTTGACTCACAAGTACAAGCAACATCTCAAATTTCTTCCTTTGAACACTTTTAAAGCTGTATATTACATTGGCATCAATATCGAGAATGATATAATAAAGACTGCCGGTAGTAACAATAATAACACTTGGAAAAACAAGAAGAACGACCATCCTTCTTATTCGTCTTCTAAGCACGAAAATACTACCAACAATATAAGCCAAGTTGATCTCAATGAAGTGTTAGCTCTTGATGCTCCATTGCCCAAGAAGAAAAGAACTTACACTTCTTTAGGAATGACTTATGATGCGGCCTTTGATCGCCTTTACGATCAAGGCTTGACCACACCTATTGAGCCATTTTCGGAGCCAAAACCTGAAGAAAGGAGCGCCAAATGGAATCCCAATGCCCATTGCAGGTACCATCAAGGAAGGGGCCACAATACTGAGCAATATTGGAAATTGAAGGACGTTATTCAAGACTTGGTAGATGAAAACAAACTTCTTGTCCCTCCAGGCGACAAGAAGTAATGAACACAAGGCGCATAACCGATCCTTTGTGCAAGATTTCATGATTTCTTTTTTTTTTTTTTGTTTTTTTATCATTCATCTCCATTCCCCCATTCATGTCTAGCATAGGTTTTCCATTTCAAATTTTTGTACGTTTCATGTGTTTCGTTCACCTTTATTCCATTAATAAAATGAGCAATTTCTTTTACATCTCGATCATAGAATTTTTCATTCATTCTCAAAAAAAAAAAATCAATTAGCGAACTAAACACAAGGTACACCAATGACTTGAGGCACCTTTGCAACCCTATCATTCCCTGTTAACCGTTCAATCACATTCCATTTCTTCATCGACAACTTTGAGCCTCGTCTAACAATTATCTTTCATTCACTTAACCTTGGGATTAGAAGATGTGTAATTGTATAACATTCAAAAAGCAAGTAAAAAAAAAGCAGCAAAACAACAATAAAACAATGTCTAAAGGCAAGTGTTCCAATGTCTTTGATATTAACAAGTTTCAAATTGCGTCTCTCATCGAGTGCTTGGTACCGTGCCTGAGAAACGTGAATGCTAAGTGAGTGATGGACCGCATGATCTGAGATTTCCTAAATTGATTCAAAAGAGTTAAAAGAAAAAAAAAAATAAATTCAAAAAAAAAATGAAAATAAACTTGCAAAATTCAAAATTTTCAAATTCACAATTACACATCTTGGGGATTCTCTCGGGTCTTGAGCCTTGTATCCTTTTCTTCTTTAAACCATCAACTTTTAACACATTACAACCCTTGAAAGACCTCTTTGAGGTGTACATACACTTGTGCAAAGTTCGGCTAGAGCTACGTTCGGCCTGATTCCTAACAGATACGTAGGCAACCTAACATCGAGGTGCGGCCACATTCATATCCATATCCATGCATGATCGAGTCAAAGAATATCCAATGCTTAACCCTATGACCCTATCCATCTAGAGCTAGACTTGGGGGCTTGAACCCACATCATTTAGCCTACCTATCCTAAAGAGTTACCATCTTGACTCTTCTCACATCTATTTCCCTCACCATAGCAATTGCAGCCTCACCTAGTATCACTTTCACACACGTCTTTCACACATACATAGCCATATCAACTTTCCCTTAGGAACCTTTTATCATGAAATTTGTTTCCCCACTGTGCATGCTTCATTATCTTTCAAGACAACATTCATTAAAAGAAACATTGTATACTTGCTTAGCTTCCTGACCAGAGCAATGTTCATTGTTTCATGCATCGCATAATGTGTTGAGCAACATTTATATATCAATTATTTGTAATCATACAAAGCATATCGTTCTTAGCTCCTTGACCTAAGCAACTTTCATTGTGTAATAATCACTTCATCTATATACGTGCTTAGCTTCAAAATCTAAGTGACGTTCAAGATCGTTTCTTTACACCACTACTACAAAAAGTGTGCTTTTTAGACGCTTGTCAACCTTTTTTTCGACACATAAAAGCGTCGCAAAAATCTTTCTCGACGCTTCTAAAAAGCGTCGAAAAAACGTGAGTCGAAAATTTTGCTAGACACAAAAAAGCGTCGCGAATTTCGACGCTTTATTGTGTCCAAATTTTTATACGAAGATTCGCAATATGCCATAATTGGCGCACTTTCTTAACTTTGGTGACGCTTTTTCACGTCAAGAATCTTAAAATTAGTGACGCTTTTATTTGTCCAAATTTTCATACATTTGCTATTTAACATTTTGGCAACGCTTTTTCCTGTCCATATTTTCTAATTTGGGGACGCTTTTTCTTGTCCATTTTTTTTAAATAAATATCTAGAATACCAAAATAAAATATTTCATTCCCTAATAATTATTTCTAATATATTATTATTAAAAAAAATAATAATATTAATACATGTACAACAAATTTATGCCAATTTTTTTTTATTACATATATAAATACATTATAGCATATGTACAATATCTCATAGTAATGGGTTTTCTATTACAACAAGTACAATTTCAACTTGTGCTTTATTCATGACTAGTTGTAGTGGAACAAATTCGGAATCACTAATTGAAATCTTTAAATAGCACAATTCTCTCATGTCCCAGATGCTTTGCCATTTTCACACCCATTCTAGCCGATGCCACATGATAACAATATAGTCCGAATAAGAACGAAAATATAAAAACTATCAATAAATCAAGGCAATATAAAAAACAGAATACTTCAGCAATACCTCTCCCTGGAAATATAGCTTATTAAATGCTTACAAATGCCACTTTCTGCCCAAGAAAGCAGAAGGGAAGATCCATGACATATTTGAATATAAGAACCAGCTAAACTGAAAACTGTGGCAAGAAAGAGACTTGCTTTTCTTGTATTGAGAACTCATGCTCATAATGAACTTAAATGTGGTAGAGATATATGGAGAAATTGTGCCTAAGATGAGTTAGTGTAAGATGGTAAAGAAGTGCCTCGTACATAAATTCCCACCCGTATAAATAATATAAGAGACCAGTAAAACCAAGGAAGACAACACCTGATATCAATCCAAACAGGATCCTAGTGCCTGAATAAAGCTCACAAGCACAGTCCACGAAGACTTTGGGTCTGTATCATTTAAGCATTGAAGTGATTTTTCTTGATGAGAGCTCCAGTTCACAAGCATGGGGCTTCTGACCAGATTGGATGTGGATCAAGAAATAACATTATGGGAAGTTCATATATAATACAAAGTAGGATATCAAAAGTGGACAATAAGTCCATACCAAATTGCAGCTTGGTAGACCATTCCTGTAGACCGATAAGAACAGAAAATCAGAAGTCAAAATTATATGAAATTAATACAATATGCGCAAGAAAAAAAATCTAAAATGGCTTACAGTCATATATTCCAGTAAAAATGAAATAAATAGACAAATCAAGTTTGGTAGAACATGGTAAGTTGCACCACCGTATGCAAGAAATGCGGTTAAAAATTATACATGTAAATCAACTGACATGTACAAATATCAAGTGCCACTTACTATACTTGCATCTGTCAGAAAGCATTCACTTAGCAAACCTACATCCATATAATCTCATTTATTAGTTGTTCAAGTCTTTTATACTCTACAATAAGTGCATATTTTCTCTAGTACTCCACGTACCTTAAAAATGGAACGAATTAAGTAGCCAACTAGCAGATCTGTAGATTAGAAATGTTGCAACTCAGATAATGACCAAATATTGTGCACAACATATTTATTTCCTAGTACACTCATAAAATGTGCAGGTAAGACCTTTATTAGAAGACAAAACTTGACACCATAGGCACCACCGCACCATGTGCATGGTTTCTAGGTCTAAATTTTATAAATTCAATTAACAACAAAATTCTTAATTCAAAAAAACAAACAAACTTAAACCAAAATGAACAGAATTCAACTAAAGTATAACTCAACTAATATACAAGAAGTAAGTTAGATGCAAGAAATTACTCGGAAGTAAAGGCAAGGATGAGCTCAACGACATTTTGGGTCAGTGTGTGAACATCCGATTATATATGTTTTTTGTAAAGAGACTTCAAAATCTCTTCATCCTCCATGATATATTAAGAAAAATATCTCAGAAAAAAATCAAAATCGGAATAAAGCATTAAAACAAAAACCCTTAACATCAAAATCCAGAGAAAAAGGAGATAATACCTGAAAACAATTATAATACCAAATATTATGAAACCAAAGAGCATCATTCAGTTTAATTTGTTACTGGGTTAGCGATTTTGGAGAGATGAATTGATGAGAGAAATGAGTGAAAGGCTAGGGTTTTAATTATCGGAGAGTATAGAGGAGCGGTTTTGTTGTTTCACCCAATTTTGTATAAGTTCTAAAGCTAGAGCACATGTGTTATCACGTGATTATTACTTTGGACACCTTTTTACGTCAATAATAAGTCCGTCCACTCTCGAGATTCATATTGATCAATCGATCTCCGCGTCCTTCCAGTTCGCTAAGTAGACCCACTCTGCCGAAGGTAGAACTTTTCCTGCCAAAAACAAGAGACTGACATTCCTATCCCAAGAGCGAGTAAGGCACTACTACTACGGATGATGCAGTGGAAAGACTGCGGATAGGGCTCAAATACCAACGCGCCAAACCATGAGAGTTAAAATCTCAGGTGGTACAGCGAAAGCCGGGTTTTGTGCCTACGAGACAGCTATGGTGTTGCACAGCAAAGTCTGTTGGGCTGAAACGAATTCTCTTCTATGGAAAGGTCAAATCCAGCTTTAAGGGGTAGGTCGAAGACCTATTGATGATTTCGCTAGATTGGCCACCGGGGCCTTCAAGCATCCGAAATACGCCGCGGTTGTAAATGACATAGCCTTGAACATCACTAGTCTAAAAGAGGCATAGAAAAACGAAAGTATAAAGAGGGAAAGAAGTTTAGTGCTAGTTCTTACGGGGGAAAGCTTGCTTGCTGTAGCCCTTTTTTAGTAGACTAGGCTTAAACGAGTTCCCCGCGGAACATTTTCTCTTTCGTCCTCGGACGTTCGGTCGATCCTCTATTCTCCCGACCGGAGATGTAGATAACGAGGCCAAGAATGAGCTAGGCTGGCCGGCGTCTTTATTTTACTGCGTAGAGATGGCTTGGAAGAAAATAAGCTCTTTTCTTCTTCTTCACTACAACGGGAGATAGCTGGTTTTGTTTCATTAGTTTGATAAAATCATGGAACAAAGGGCAGGGAGACTCGTCCGTCTCCCAAAGAGAGAAGCTATTGGACATCAATGGTATCGGAGTGCGCCTCTTCACGAAGGGACCCCGGTACTAATGGTCAACCTAAATTGGGCAAAGGCCTCAGTCTTCTATTCTGTAGCTCCTACGAAAGCATTTGTTGCAGCTGCTGTTCCCGATAAAAAAGCATCCAGCAGCGCCATTAGATGGTACGCGGAGCTGCTGGCATCAGAGCTTGTTAATTCGTTGCAGCTGAAAGCTAGAGGTGGTAACATTCGTTGGGTTGAAATTGGACATTCGGAAGGCGCTGAAAAGCGTCGAGAAAACGCGGGAACCAAATTTTCCACTGACGGTGGCGTCGAATGAACAGCGTCGAAAATAAGTGGATTTTGTAGTAGTGCACCATATATGACGCTTAGCTCAATGACCTAATTTCATTCATCTATCGTGTCACATGATGTAATTGTCCTTAGTCTCCTGGCCTAAGAACATGCATCATGCATAAATTATTTTCAAGACAAGCAATTTAATCCATGAGATTCATTTCGTCTTGCTCAACGAAGAAGTTCAAAACTTTTCCCCTTTCTCATAACTTTTCTTTTGGGGAAATTAAAAAAACGTTTTTAAAATTTTCTCATCGAGGAAAGTTCGAAAATAAAACTTTTTTTTCACGTCTTTCTCGGGAGAGAGTCGGTACCCTCCACTCATCTCATGACAAAAATGACGGATTTTTTTTGCTTTTGCATTTTCGATTGCTTGTGTCTGTGCACACACACTCAAACTATACACACACAATCACAAGTCATACTCATGTCATGTCGTGTCAAGTCAAACTTGGTCGAGTCAAGTGGTCAAGTCAATCATAGTCTATACGAGTCCCTTGGCAAATTTTATTTTGCAGGTCTCAATTACATCCCACGCTCGGGGACAAGCGGACCATCTATAGCCCACGTCCGGGGACAAATGAACCATTTACAGCCCATGTCCAGGGACAAGCGGACCATCTACAGCCCACGTCCGGGGACAAGTGGACCATCTACATCCCACATCCGGGGACAAGCAGACCATCTACAGCCCACGTTCGGGGACAAGCGAACCTTTTACAACCCACGTTCGGGGACAAGCGAACCTTTTACAGCCCACGTTCGGGGACAAACGAACCAACTACAGCCCACGTCCGGGGACAAGCGGACCATCTATAGCCCATGTTTGGGGACAAGCAAACTATCTACAACCCACATTTGGGGACAATCGAACCATCATCATTTTAGTGATCATCTCCCAAGTGAAGATTATTCATGGCGCAAGGTTCTTGATACACAGAGACCTGCAATCTCATCATCTGTCGACTTTCCTCAAGCATGGAAAGTATTATCGGTGAGTTTCTTCAAGCATAGAAAACCGCCAAATTCTTTTGTCGGCTTTCCTCCGGCATGGAAAGTATTATCGGTGGGATTCTTCAAGCATAGAAAAACACCAAATTCATATGTCGACTTTCCTCAAGCATGGAAAATATCATCCGGTAGGTTTCTTCAAGCTTAGAAAGCTACCAAACTCATCACTCGACTTTCCTCAGGCATGGAAAGTATTTAAATAAAACGTCATTCAGTGGATTCCTTCAAGCATAGGAAGCTACCAAGCTCATTTGCCAACGATACACTGGTGTTAGATAAGCATTCTATCCCTTTACTCTTTTATCTGTAGAACAAACATTTTTCTGCAGGTATCGGCGTATACAGAGTGATTTAGGATCGCCAAACGTCTTAAATCATTCTCCGTCCCTATCGACTACTTTGACTATCGTTTTCGAAACTGACGTTTCTACAAACTCAGTCAAAGTGGGGGCTTCTGTAGACACCTAAAAATGTCTCCCCAAAACCAAACCCGATGATGAACACCTTTCACCGTCATTATTGATCGGGTTGATTTTTTAATCTTTGGAGTGCTTAAATCCATGTTCTATCCAATATATTTCCTGAACCAATCCAATTTCTAGCCCATTTCCCTAAACCATAACCTATTTTCCACTTTTTGTGTCCACATCGCAAAACCGAGAGAAACTGATTTTATGGCTATATAATTTTGATCCAATTATTATTTTATGGATAGGCATTGAAATAAGCTTTCTAACCATATATCATAAGCCCAATTCCGACTATAACGAAAAAGATATGAGCAAAACACTAAACTCGGCCCAAAACCGACACCCTTCCACTAAAACAGCCGTATCATAAAATTTACAAATCATTTTGACCTGATTTTAATTGGGTTCGAAAGTAGGTTTGATAAGATTTCCAATGATATATTATATGACTTATTCCAAGTTACGGATCAAAAGTTATAATAATTTTAAAAACGGGTAAAAAACTAGAATCACCGCGCACAGTGCAAAATCACAGTGCAAAAAAAATGGTGTCGTGACACGGTACTGTACATCGTGTCACGGTGCCATTTTTGAAGCTTTTTTGCGTCAAATTCCACCGTGGCACGGTACCTGTTGCCGTGACACGGTACCTGCAACCGTGACACGATATTTCTCACCGTGTCACGGTGCTTTTTCCGTGTAATTTCCGCGTTTTCCCATATCGTGACACGATGTACTGTACCGTGTCACGGAATTTTCTCGTGTCTTTTCCGTGTAAACCCTTCACGCATTTTCACTTCCCGTAGGTCAAATATTTCCCGTGTCACTCCAGTTGTCCATGGCGTCACGGGATTTTCCCCCGTCTAACGGTGCCTGGCGCCGTGTCACGGTATTTTCTGCCGTGTCGCGGTGTTAAATTTTAGGGTTTTTATCTTTTTAGGGTTCCGCGTGTTCCCTCTACTCAATTTCTCTATAAATAAGACCCTCATTTCTGCAGTTCGAGGCATGAAATCATTCTATCTTTTACACTAAAAAAATCATCATATTCTCTCTCTCCCATATTCTAAGCTTTATACCTATATTCCTAATTACACCATTCCTCCCTTAAGCACTCCAAGGAGTCCATACTTAACCCAACGTTCCTCTTTAAACCAAGGCGTGAAAGGTACACATAATTGAGGGTTTGGACCAAATCAACTCTACTTTTTATATAATTTAATTTAATTTCTATTTGATTTATATTTTTTTTTATTGAAGTTACTAAAAATTTATTCATGATGTAGAAATTTAAAGGAACGCACAGAATGTCAGTAATTAATTTAATTGCTTATTATTATTTTAGTATTGCTAATATCATGATTAGGTTTATATTATTTGATTTGACTAACACTATTATTGTTGAATTGCTTCCAACATTAATGTTTATTCTATTCTTTTTATGATCGCCATATTGCATGTTTAAAGGGAATATGTAATTGAAAATCACGCCTAATAAGATAATTTGGACGACCGGTTTAGTTTCCTTTTTAATCTTGTTGTTTAATCAAGTGATCACAATATTTTAGAATTATATGTTGCATTAATATTCAACCAATTTAGCCTAATAATAGTTTGGAGCAAATTGAATCTTTGTTTGCATGCCTTTGAGATCGCAGGAATCACTTTTCACTATAAGAATCGAGTAGAGGCCAATACGGGCGAATGTGACTCCATGACTCACTTTGTACCATCATCCCCGATCCTCCTTTTGTGGTTCCGAACCATATGGAGTTAGTAATCTCATGGATTATGAATTGGGTGTAACCTTCACGGGTCAATCGTTGTTGCCTATCGTTGTCCCTTTATCGTGGTTGCCTTTTATGATCCGTGAACGATTTACAAGTTCCTTAAATACTTGTTGGCGGCTCCCTACTTTCCTTGTCCCTAATCGTATATGTCAATTCCCACTTCCTAATAGTGCCAAGCATATTCACACATACTTTAACGTAGGCGCACATCGAACGACGCTTACAAGTAATATTCAGGTTGTGATGTTTATCATGTTTATGAATTACTTGTGAGCATGTGATTAAGAAAGAATAAAATTGTTTGATTGAACATTGTACCTAATTCATAAGAGAACTGTATTATTATTTTTTTTTTGGGAAGGGAATTCTTTTCTAAGTCTTTTCCTTTATAGGATGCCAATCTTACCTAGCAAATTCACCCAGTTGGGCACACTCGTTAAGAAACATAATGAACACCCCTATGATTATGTAGAAAGGATCCGTTATTTTTGTTCCTATATGAGTAATGTCTTACGAGATAGAGTTTATGACACCCC